ATCCTGAGAAAAAAAAAAAAAACAACACAACTACTAACTGAGACTACTTCTGCACTACGAACATTCTTCCCCGTGTTATAATTTTGAGAACAATAGGACCAAAGATTAGCACTTTAAATATGATAATAATTATAATAATACACAGAACTAATTATGATTAGAATTCAAGGAGATATTTGTGCACCCTATAGTTGAAACACGAACCAAGAAAAAGAGACTGGAACACTAAATGATACGTAAATGTGTTGTTTGAAATGTTCATACACTTACCTAACGAGAGCAAACGCTTATAATTAAATACACGCATTCAAGGGAAAAAAAAATAGAAGTGCGAAATGAAGCAATTATGATTTGAATATGTTCATAGACTTGGAAGGATTATATAGCATAATCAATATCCATGTTAGCTAGCCGTAGAAGATCACAAACCTTTGGGTGGAGAATGTGGAAAATCGTGAGATAATATCAACTTCATTCGGAAAACCCCATTTTCGTATGGCGTTCCAGCTGCAAGATTACCGAAAATCAATCAATCACAAAAAAGAATGTGGCATCTTATATTTCTATAAATACCTCTACAAAAAAGGGGGAAAAAGAAGAGAGAGAGAGAGAGATGTACCTGGGCCTTCAATATCAGCATATATAACTGAAAAATTATCATCGTTCACTCCAACTTTGATTCCCTCTGGAGGGGTTTCATCAAGATTCTTCAGCTCCTTTACCAGCTGTTTTATCACATTTGGAGGGAGATTCTCATTTGTTGCCTAAACCATATTAACGAGTGAAAGACATAAGCCCAAGGGAACTCTTCAAATGCGAATTGATGATAATCATGGAAAACATGTATCAAAATCTCTTTATCATTCAATTCAAAATGTACAGAGAATATAAGATTAATAACAAATCAGTATTTAGTGTCATAGAATGAAAATTCAATTCCCTCAGTCAATTTTTTTATTTTTTTATTTTTTGTTGTTCGGACAGCATGTAGGCTGAACATTTAACGTTACCATATAAGCCCTTGCGACAGAACAAGAGCTAACTCCTTTTATTATTTCTTTAAACGAAAATGGTACTCCCGATAGCTGCTTCAAGTTTACTGTTATCTCAGGTTATGAGTTTATACTAGCCAAGCCCCAGAAAAAATCCTGCACAGCAACAGAATAGGCAATTCAGTAATATGAATCCGAAGATAATTGAGTGAAAAAACAGAAGCCACCATATTTCTTTGAAGATGCTATTTTGGCAAGTCAAAGCGATATTTCCAGCAAAAAGCTTATAGAAGTAAATTCAAAAACTGAGACAGCAAATTAAACTAGAGCAAATTGACACCTTGTGCAGATCATAACTAAGTCTTTATCTAATCCATGAGATTAGCCATTTCCCCCAAAAAATAGAGCGAAGTCATAAAATTACACACGAAGTGTAAGTTTTCAGATACTTAACACTATAAGAAGGTGAATGATCAACTACAGAACAATATCAATAATAGTCTCTCGAGTAAAAACCATAAAGGTAAAACCTTTTTCAATTGACATTGCAAGAACCAAAAGAATTTCACATGAGAAGCATCTGTCAAAGCTACATCTTTCGGATCGATAACCAAATGAGGCGAAATATAAACCCTAATTGAACCCCTCAATAAGCCACCNAAAAAAAGCATTACAAATGTTAACAAAATACGCAAGTAATTCAGAACATCCTGAATTCAAGAAACCCATAATTCCGCTCATAAAATTGACACGGAAAAGCTTTAAACGCTCAAGAAACACAGCAATTACAAGGCACCCACAAATAAAAAGGAAACCAAAACAAAAAAGTACCTTCAGCCAAGACTCGGGCCGAATCTGCGAGAGAACCAGATGGGCTAAAATTTGATCGGAAAAAACCGAATCTGCGAGAGAACCAGATGGGCTAAAATTTGATCGAATTTTGCAAATACACTTGCAAATGATCGAATGATTGAATTTTCAGAGAGAAAAATGGCGTATCTATAGGTTAAGCTATATATACACGCAGATAAAATTGAATCTTGAGAGGTTGGAAAAGAGGGGTTTTGATATCGACGCCAAAATTTTCCTATAGCCACTCCTATTGTACCGTTGCAATCCATTCACGCCTTCCAAACTTTGTAAATAATTTATCATTTTTTTTCTAATTAAATTTTTTCTGCAACTTCAAATTTTTAAACAATACTTTGAATTAAAATAATACTTAAAGTTAATCATCTATCTTCTGCCACGGTTAATATATTAACTCGTTTTAACATATTAACTTGTGTTCATATTTTATTATTTAGTAGATAACTAAGATAAACGGTGATTAAATTTTGGTTATCATTGAACAAAAAATATTGTATGAGGTTGTCTAATATTCAAATCAATCTGTTAATAGTTAATACTTTTTAAACAAAAACATATATTTATATTATAGTATATTATACTTTTCTTTGTGCTTTTCATCACACGACATTTTTACTTTAAAAGTATATATATTTATTGAAATATGATAAATTTTATCTAATAACAAATAGGCCTATCTATCCACTTATGATTATTAATGTAGGTTTACAAATATTGTAAGCAAATTTTGCATATTTCATGAATAAGACCGTTAGTGGCCAAACTAGCCGTTATACACCTTACCAGCTACAATTTCATGTATCATATTCAACATATTAATAACCTTATAGCACATATAAATTTACAGATTCAGGCAATAACCACGTTTTGTGTGTGAAAACTCAATGACAGTACTGTAAATATGATTTAAGTATTTAATAGATTATACATGCCAATATATATGTATCTATATATATAAAAAGGTTTGATTATTTTTTAAATACTAACTATTTCCTAAAAAAAAAATGTATTTACTATTTTGGAAAACTAATTTAGCAATTTTATGATATATTTTAAATAATCAGTTATGGAAATTGCGGTTCGTTATATAAGGAAGTAATTAAGTCATATAAAATACATTTTTAAGATACCTTAATTACTCAAATCAATTTAACAATTTATGGTATATTTCAAATAATCAATTATGGTAAATTCATTTTTAAGATACCTTAATTACTCAAATTATGTGAATTGGCTGATTTACCCAAATATGTGAATTTCGGCTGCAATATCAATTATGTAATTTAGTAAAAAATTTCTAACTAAATTGTATAATTTATTATTTGATAAGTGTTTTATATTTTTCGTGTAGTTCTTTTGTAAAATACAGTTTAATATGCCTTAATTACGCAAATTGTGTAAATTCGATTGATTTATTCAATTTGTAAATAATTACTACAATTATAGAAATATCGAAAAAAGTAATTAATTATGTAGTTTGTAAAAACCTGTTCTAAAAAAATTGTGTTAATGACAATTTTTACTTAAATATTATTTAATAAATGTTATTCATTTTTTGTGTATTTAATTGCTCAAATCGTGGATAATTAAGGAAATAATTTGACCGTGAAGATACCCTAATTACGGAGAACGTGTAAATTTGGTTGATTTATTTAATCGTAATTTCTTATAAACTATTCTAAAATAATAGTGTTATTGGTAGTTTCTATTTAATTATTTTTTAATAACTATGTTTGGATATTTTTTATTTTTATCTATAATAAATGTGTTGTACATTGTGCAATTAATTTAGTGGTTAAACTGAATATCATTTTTTGTATTTTATCAATAAAGTATGAAATCGAATTATTTGGTATATTATATATTGATCCAATATATCCGCTTATGGTAATAAATGGTATCTCAATATTATTTTTTTTTCATATTGCTATGCATTTTACTTTATATTAATGAAAGAAGAATCTGGATAATACTATGGTCGATTTTTCTTTGTAAATGTGCGTGGAACATATCAAATTATTTTGGTGTGTGTGTGTGTAAAGGTTTGTTTTTCCTTAAATCACATTGTATTGAAATCAAATTTCTGAATAAAATTTTTAAAATGAATATAATGTAACTTATTATAAGTTATTTGCACCGTACGGGTCGTGTATTAATTTTAAATAGACATGTTTTAAATTATTTTGCACAATTTAAATTTCATATAACATTTTCAACAAATTAATATAAGTAAATGTATTATTTAAATATATTATTTAATGATTATTTATAATTTATGAATATTAATGAATATTTCTTACCCGTGCATCGCACGAGATTCGTTCTAGTAAATATTAAATAGCTAATTAAGTTTACAAATTAAGGTGTAATTCTAATGTCGGTATTCCATATTCAAATCTCAGTATCCTAATTATAATTTTCAGTTAGTTTGAACAGCAACTTAACAATTGAGTATGAAAATTGAAAATAAAATTGTGAGTGTTATAATAGTTATAGTACTGAAAATAAATAAACTTCAATGTAGGATACTTTAGGAATTATACTTTATTGAATTTGCAATTTACCTTGTGTTTGTTGATGGACTAGTTAAATGGTATCCAGACAGCTGGGCCATTGGAAATGGGCATATGGGCCTTCAAGTGAAGTCCAGCTAATTACATTTGCTATCTTCTGCATGTCCATACATAACTAATTCATAATCAGCCCAGTCGCAAGTTGGGAGTTACATTATTATGTACATTTTATATCATATTCCATTTATAATTGAATTTTTTTAATAAATAAAAACATTTTTTTAACTAATGAATTTTCAGTTGTAATATAATATGAATAATACCAATGAACACTCATTGGGTATTCTACTGTCAGGCGGCCAAACTGTTGGCATATCTCGGAGTTGTCAAAACATTTTTAACAAGCACATACTTATAATATTAAATATTATAATATTTAAGTACGAAATATGTTTATTGATTAAAAAAGTAATACTGCCTAACTATAAGACAATTTTATAGAAAATCAACTTATATCTTTTTCATTACTGTTAGACCACCTAATCTTTAGACAGATCAGCAAAGTATATTTTTCAAAATAAAAATATATGTTTATATTATTAAATGCCATATTTTTATTTATATTTAAAAATAATTTAAATATGCAAATACGTGCATTTAATAAAATCAAGTTGCAATTAAGTATAGCAAACAACTGCCATACTTCTATATTTGTATCATCCCCAAATTAACTCAACATTAGACTAATAACAACATAATTATATATTATATAAAAAATTGGGGTTGAAATTATTAAATCATTCAACTCTTGCTCGAGTCTGATAAAATTCCAAACAACGTTGACAAATATTTTTAAATTTAACACAATTAAATAATCTGCAATTTACTCAAATAGTTATATTTGGACCAATTGTTATCACATTTTNAATTTTGTTATCACATTTTTAGTTTTAACAGAAAATAAAAATATTTTACGAGAAAAGAACATTAAAATATGCATAGAGAGAGGGAAAGTGTAGAGGGAGTGTCTGTGTGAGAGAGAAAGAGAGAGCATGAGACTATGAGAGAGAATAGGTGAAGACTTGCTGCTTAGTGACGTCAGCGATCTCGGAGGAGAAAGTTTGTTGATTTCTGTTCATATATTTCCCATCTGCCATGGAAGGTAAACTAGAATTTCAATTCAATTATCCAATTTTGGTGTTGGTTTTTTTGTTTTTTTTGTTTTTTTTTTATTTTTTATTTTTTATTTTTTGTATTTTTTTTTCTGCCAGCCGTAATTTCTTCTTGCTTTTGCTTTCTGTTCGAATTGCTTGGATTTTTGACTGAACTATGAATCGATTTCTACCGGTTCTTGAGGTCGATTCTACTGAATTTGCCACTGAGAACTATATTTGAGCGTTTTCAGTAGAGTGGCTCGAAACACTGTAGTTGTGTGTCAGCTCATGATTGTGGAGATCGGTTCTAGCTCAGGTTTGTTTGTTTTCTGCTTTCTTTTGGTTTGGACTTTCTATAAATGCTGTTTTTTCAGCATTTCTCATTAGGATTAACTGATTTATGCATTGAATTCTACATGTTTATTTGGCTGGTTGTGTGTTGTTCTGAAATTCTGGCCATCTGGTTGAAAAGGGATGACTCAGAGTTGACAGCTGGTGAAATTATTTGTAGAGCACAATGAGTGATGGATTCTGCTAAAGAACATTTGGTATATTTACTGTGTGGATGACTGTATAGTTGGTTAAAAAGGTGTGATATTTTTGTGAGTGTACCGGGCTCGTTTCTGTTGGTTTGCTTGCTGAATGATTAGGTTGAATTACTCGATCTTAAACGTGGAGCTCAATTTATTTCCTTTCGAACTTTCCAGTCTCATTATATTTGAGTATTTATTAATTCTTAAGTTTGCTCCTTGTTAGCGGGGAGCTCGTTAATTGATTGTTCAAACCTCTAAAAAAAAAAAAATGTTACCTCATCGAAGATTAAAATAGGCAGTGTGCATGTCATACATGATACATGCTGTACATCTTATAATGTTGATTTTTCTTGTCTATGTAAGGTTGTTTTTGCTATGACTATCACTATACTTTATCAAATATCTAGTAATTTTACTATAAGAAGGGAAATATGATTATACCAAAAACAGGTTAATTCTGTTCTAAATTAGGCTATTTCAGTTTCCAAGGATTTAGCGGTGGATAGGAGCACTTGGAGGCTAGCAATCAACGTGCTAGAACCGTGACTTTTGCCTCTTTCTCTTTTGCTCCAATCTCTTCCTTTTGTTTTGAGCCCTTTTTGTTTTCTCTTACCATTGGTTCTCTTGGGTTTCATCTCTAGCCTACCTCAACTTGCTTGGGACTAAAAGGCTATGTTGTTGTTGTTGTTGTTGTTGTTGTTCAGTTTCCATACTTCCCCATTCTAAGCTGGACCAATATAGGAAAAGACTGACCTTTTTGTTTTGACTGTTTATCATCCCATAGAGGTAGCGGACATCTCTCTACACTTTCAAGTAGTTTACTATTTGATTTTGTTTCTTGATTCTTTTAATCAAAGCTATATTGCACCAGTTGTTGGCCAAATATTGGTCACGTGAAACCTCTTCTCGCAGCAAAAAAAAGTTATGACCTACAAAAACTCTTTAATAATGTCAAAATCGATTATCTTAAAATATCTTATTGGGCGAAATAACAGCATACTTCCTTTACCTTATGCTTTAATATCAATTAGTGGCAAAGATAATGTATCATAACTTGCTTTAACTGCAAATGATCTAATCTGAAATTAGTCCATTATTTTAACTGCAAATGATCTAATTTCACATATTTGTGATCGATATGGTGGTTTTGTTGAAAAATGGATAACTTGTCAACCTTAGTTACATACATCATGCTGTCACGGCATGTGGCGTAAATTCTTAAAACCTTTCGAATTATGCTTTTTTTTTTTCCTTGCATATGTTTGCATCATTCATGGACAATCCACTTCTAATTAAAAAATTCATAAACTTGTAGGCATACCCTCAGATAAAGATTCCGTAGAATCCGGCAGAAGGGCCCGTGTCAGGAAAGAGTTCCTTCATAGATTTGTAGACGGCAAAAACTTTAGAGAAACCCTCACGAGCTGGCTCGAGGATTTAGTCGAACAAAATGCGGGGGGCCCCACCTTCGACTCTCCTTTCGAGAGAATCGACCTTCAGAAGTTCGACTATGCGCTCGAAGGCGTTCCATTCCAGCAGCTGGTTCGTATGCCGAGCTCTATTTACGAGCCGACATCTGGCGCTGAAGTGGAAGGAGGGAATGCTTTTCTTGCGCTCGAAGATTTTATGCATGCAAGTGCTAGTAGCCTGTGGGAGGCCTTCTGGGGAGAAGAGGAAGGTCACAATATAATGCCTTTCTATGTATCGTCCTTGTACGAGCGGAACCTGAAGTTCTACCCAGCTGAGAAGGTCCTTGCCAAGGGTAAAACGGGAAAACTATGCGCCTCGGCCATAATGCTTAAAAATCCGAGACATCCGCAAGGAAAGTGGGATGATGTTGTTGAGTTGGCACTTTTAAGGCCCGGTTACTATGATGATGATGATAATTATCCACATTTGTCTCTCATAAGTGATGCTCTGTTTTTCGCTCTTCGAGTGCTGATCGCGAGGAGTGTGAGCAGATCGAGTGTGCGTACGAGTTTGAATTACGTTTTTGTCCTTGTGCTCGATTCTCAGTATGGTAGTGTCGTGAGAGTCGAAGGCGATCTGAATAAGATGGATTTCGATCTTATTAACACTAATAATGTTTACAAATCTGCTGCTTCTTGGTTTAAGAACTATTCACGCGTTGCTATTTCCCCAGTCGAGAGGATTTGGAATAAGCTCGGAAATGCAAACTGGGGTGATGTTGGTGCTTTACAGGCTCTTTACGCTACTTTTCATTCGATAGTGCAATTTGCCGGGATGCCTAAGAACGCAATCGAAGATTTAGCCGCCGAACACGGGTCCCGGCTTCAGGCAAGAAAAGTCGAGCGAAATTTAACGGATAAAAACAATAATAATTATGATAATAAGAATAATAATAATAATACGAAGATGAATATGTTCCAACACCGCACAGCTTCCCCGGAAATCGTAGAAGTACGCGAGGAATTTACCAAAGTGGAATATTCTCGAAAGCCGGTCAAGCTAGAAGTAGGTGATATCGTGCTTCTAGAAGATTCCGACTCGCGAAATGACAGTTATCGGGTGAATAAGGTTATGAGCAATAACGAGATTCCTTATTACGTCTCGTCCCGTGTGGAAAACCCGGGAGAGGATTTGTTTCTCTATGCCGGGCCCCACCCAACTCAAATGGAGCCCGCGTGGGAGGATATGAAGCTTTGGTACCAAGTCCAGAGGCAGACGAAAGTGCTTAGTGTGATGAGAGAAAAAGGTGTTTCGAGCAAATATCTTCCCGAGATAATCGCGTCTGGTCGAGCCATTCATCCGGGCAGCCAGTGCCGAAAATCGTCGAGCTCGGGATGTGATCATCCGTGGTGCGGTACACCTGTCTTGGTGACTGGGCCGGTTGGAATGAACATAGTTGACCTGGTCAAAGCTGGCAAATTTACCGCGGACGAGGCTATAAAGTGCTGTCACAATTGTTTATCTGCGTTATCATCGGCTGGGGTTCGGCATGGGGACATAAGACCCGAAAATATTATACGCGTGAAAAGATCGGATTTGAGGGGTTCGTTTTATTATTATGTAGTGATTGGGTGGGGCCACGCGATTCTTGAAGAGAGGGATCGACCGGCGATGAATCTTCATTTCTCGTCGACTTCTGCTCTTCAGGAAGGGAAATTATGCTCCGCATCGGATGCGGAGAGCTTAGTGTACACCCTATATTTCTCTTCGGGTGGGGATTTGCCTGAGTTGGACTCGGTTGAGGGGGCTTTGGTTTGGAGGGAAAATTCGTGGTCGAGGAGATTGATTCAGCAGAAGCTGGGTGATATATCTGCTGTGCTGAAAGCTTTTGCCGATTATGTCGATAGTCTGTGTGGGACACCTTATCCGGTCGATTACGAGATTTGGCTGAGGAGGCTTAGGCTACATGTTCAAGAAGAGGAATGAATAGAATTTTGTGCTGCGAATGGTAGGGTTTTTTTTGTACACTTTGAAGCAGGCGATCGATCGAAACTCAGAAGTTCGGTGAATTTTTTTGAATTTCGTATTTTCGCCTTTTCGTTTTGGGTGAAACGGAGAAAGAGCAGGAAAAATGTGGGACTTTTATACAAATGGGAAGAATAGGGAGATTTGATTTCGTGTTTTGGTTTGTAAAGTGTCTCTTCTGGGTGTATTTTCTGTCTATACTATTTCTTGTAAAGTTAAGGTGAAGATAGTTCAAATGTGTGATAAATGTTTGTGTTCTTTTTCAATGATGAGATGGCATTTGCATTTGTTCATAAGTTAAGGTACAAAGATTATTATTATTACATGACAACATAATAGCATACATAAAGAGAGAAGATTGAAAATTGGGGCACTGAATAACACTGTTCAACATGGTTTTAAAGCAGAAATAAGTTCATACATGACAAAACAAATCCGAATCGATTGTACTCTGTTCGTACTTCATATCAAGTTGCTCCATTGCAGGCCGAGTGTATAAGTAACACGATTGTTTTTCGAGAAAAAAGTTACACGAGAGGAAAGTAATACGAAAAATGAAGTTCACAGCCGACTAATCTGCATCCATTTCTTCAAGTGCAGCTTTAGCGGCTGTCTTAGCTTCCTCTAACAGATCATCCGGGACCTGTTCGGATGGGCGATTTAATTTATGACGAGAAGACAAAGGATTCAAATGCAAATTAAGTTGGAATATTGAGAGAAATGTACGTTAAAAAAATGGTAAAAAACCACGATCTGAAAGAAATTATGGAATACGAATGCAAATTTTGTTGAATTACTTTCTGATGCTGACGGTTGGACTCGTCACAAACCCAACTCATTTCCAGTTCAAATGCCTTGTCCTTTGCTTCATCATGTACCCCATAAATACTGCACATCAGAAATGCAATGTACCCAATGACTGAAAGTCAACTCAAGTGGAAATAATGGAGCAAAACACAAATGACAATAAAAAAAGAAGGAAATAAAAATGAAAATGAAAAGGAGAAAGAAAACGGAATTTGTGCACATGCCAGCAAAAATAGTTGGCAAATATATAAAACTTTAATTTGTATCATTTTGGGGGGGTTGAATTGTAGCTTTTGGTAATTACTGAAAATTCACCTAATAAGAAACAGTTAGGCAATCACTAAGATATGATTTATTACCACAGCATCATCCACCACAACCGAGTTTGTAGCCAATATTAGATAGAAATTCATAAGAAAATGTAAACATAAATAATCATTTAAAAAGAGAAGATAAAACTTACATCTTCGCAACCTCAATAACCCCTTGTCGGCAAGTCATCTCAGAAAGCTTTAATTTTTCGATCTCTCTGTCACCACAAAATTTACATAGCATAAGGAAAGCAGAAATGGAAGGATCAATTGGTTGAAGGAAACCTTAGTCCTTATAGAAGGAAAAGGAAGATGTCAAAATACTATATATCTCCACATTGGAGAGGATGGTAAGTACAAATATTCTGCTTTGTTTTATTAAATCGCTATTATATGTGAGTTTATAGCCTGAGGTGAGTAGAAGATTACATAATACTTACGTTTTAGCAGCTTGCCTTCCCTTCCCAATAGCAGCACCAAAGTACCTCTGCACACGGTAAAATATAAAATTTGGAAAAGGTACGCAAAAGATGAGATCATAAGAAGACTACATAAGCAGGTGGAAATTTCATTTAATTGTAAGTATCATGGATACTGAATTCAATAGCCATCATTTGCATTTAATGCAGAAAAAGAAAGAAAAAGAAAAACTTACATATGAAATTCCAGATGGTTCAACCATGTACAACTGCGGCCCATCTCTATCATAACCTCCCAAAATAACTCCACATCCAAAAGGCCTGCCATATTTAAGTTGGGTCTCATGGAGATAGAACAAAAAATAAGAAGTCAATAGAAGGACAACATATGTGCTATATCAATATCAAACCTGAGCCACCAATAAAGTGTGCACAAATGCACGTAACTAGCCACGCGTTGAGCAAGTTCTTGTACAGGAATTGCTTCACCATACACACTGTAATTCAGAATGAGAACAACTTTAACAAATTAAAGAAAACAATCCCAAAACTAGTTAGCTCAATACAATACACAATCATACACAACGAAATAGCTGAGTGGATGAATATGTAGAAAAAAAATCTAAAACAAACGAGACAAATATAAAATGAAACCTCTCATAGTTAGTTGCTTCAGATTTTGCTCTTGCCACAATTTGCCTGCCATCTGCAGCTAGTCCAGCAACAGCCTGCAAAAAGACAGACATCAGCCAGGAAGCACAATAAAGGCTTTCTACAGCCCTTTGAAAACTGTGATGACATCTTATAACATTCAGTGAATATGAAAGACCATTACTATAACATTATTCAGCTGATGATTCACAAATTTTCTCCACTTTCTAGTGTTTCTCAATCTAAACCTCCAATTAAAGACTATTCAACAGATAAAACTTGAACTGAGACAAACAATTACAATACCCCACTTGATTTTTAAAAAACGCAGTCCGTTTCACTGGACTACATTTCCAGAGGAAAACGGTGGTCAATTCTTATGAAAGCTATTTTACAGTGTTCCTCTCAACAATGTTATCTCATGAACTATTGGAAATGAATTTCATCCACTCAGAGCAAGACATGAAAAAATCTTACCAAGAGCACTTACAACAAAATCAACAACATAGAAACAAAATGGTGAGCTTGTCATCTGGTAAAGAAGTCTCCAATTTCAGTAAAGGCAATCCTAAGCTCTTCAAAATCCTTCCTAATAGCCTCTAAAGCTCATCAGACTATGGAAAACAAAAATTCGTCACGCTAACTTCACGATATATATCGCCTCTCAATATTCTAACGACAAAACAAACTGAAGAAAAAACCACATACTACCAAAACCGATTCACACCAGTACAAAATCAAGCTCAGCAGCAACTTGCCAAGATTCACATCAGATACTCACTGAATTACATCTAATCAACAATAACTTGACCATACACGTTGCAAGAGAGAGAGAGAGAGAGAGAGAGAGAGAGAGAGAGAGATAAGGACACAATACCATGCCCGAATGCCGATGGACGGAGTGGATTCTCCTGTTGGACCCGGGCAACATCATCTTCGAAGCAATCAGCTTTTCTACTCCCTGCAATCACCACAAGAAGCAAAATCAAAAATCCTGTTCAAAACCCTAACAGGATGAGAAAAGGGTCGAGCTCGAAATCTGGGCCGGCGTACCATAACGACCCCGTCCTTGCATCTGATGCCCACCACAGTGCCGCTGTTGTCGACGGCCTTCGCCGCGTATTCGATCTGGAAAACGCGGCCGTCCGGCGAGAATGTGGTCACCGATAGATCGTAGCCAGTGCCTATGCTGCTCATTTTCCTTCGTCACTGTTTCTGCTAATCGTTTCTCTGTGCTCTTTGTGCTCGTTTTTGTCAGTCTCTCTTTGTTCAGTTTTAGGGATTTTGGTTTTTGGTTTTTGGTTTTTATTTCATGGTTTTTGCAAAGTGTTTTCTTTGTTGACAAGATAGAGAAAAAGAAAAAAAAAAAAGATAAAAAAGAAAAAGAAAAGAACATAGTAATTAAAAAAAGAGAAGAAAATTAAAATAAATTCAATTCACAAATTTTTGTACGAGAAGTCATAATTTTTAGATGGATTGATTCATTATACTTTGTAGCAAAAATATAGATTTATTGATTATATCCTAATTTTATTTGTATGGACTTTAATATATGATATTTCAGATTGAAAATATACATATCTGTTGTGAAATATATTCGATTAAAATTAGGCTACATTGAGATTTTTCATTTTATTTGTAAGTTTTTTTTTTTTTTTTCAAATGTATTGTACCAACTATTTACTTATTAAGTTGTTATTAATTAACTTAATATTATGGTTACTGCTATTACGTATAAAAAGAAAAAGGAAAATAAAAAAAGCGCTAAGTTCCATCCAATCCAAGGTTATGTTTATAGTGAAAATAGTCGTATTATCAAATAGAGTATTTAATTTAATTGGTAGAACAAATAATAGAGTATGATTGTTAAATAAAATAATAACAATAATTAATTTAAAGTACTTTTATACGTATTTAAGTTGCGTGAAAAGCTGAAAATTGCTATAAGACCATTTTTATCGAAGTGTGAAAAAAAAAGAAACTTCAATTCAATCTTTAATAATTATAATAAAAAAGGTAATTAATACTTCCAAGCGTATTTTCATTTTTCAGTCACCCAAAAGGTATGAAAGGTGAAAATTAAATTAAAATCACTTAAGTTAATTAATAACAACTTAATAAGTAACCCAAAAGGTACGAGCATCACAATGCTTTGGGTTCTGTAAAATAAACAGGCCATGTAGGAAATAGACAGTCTGAAAAAATATTTACTCCAACGCAAATGCAAATGGACTGGATCGTGGTGATGTGGCAGTAAAAAAATGAGACCCGGTCTACACTTGAGTCTATTTAGACCCAAGAATCTATTTTAGACCCAAGTAAAGACCTAGTCTCTTTGCATTGGAGTTAATTTCATTACTTTTCAATATATTTGTCCATGTCATCCAAGACTTAAGTTAAACTAAAAGCATTGTACATGCTCTTAGAAATCCGAATCCCGAAAGAAAATAAATGGTAAACTTCATGATAGGGAATATATAAGCAAGTGCTGCTTTTGTAGGATGCAGTTAACTTATATGTAAATCCTAAACATATAAACCAGATGCAAGTCTTAACCATTGAAATTCCAATCTATGTCCAAATCCAAATAAGCTTTTGCCTGTATATAAACATACAACACAATGCAAATAATAGCAACAATTTTCAAACTGCAAAAACTGCAATCTTAAAAGCCACCTAAATACACGAATTCGCTGAACCTTTTGATTTTCGTTATGTTATACGTCGCATAAAAAACTAAAAATAAACCTAAATAGCAAACTCAACCAAGAGAAAACCAAAAGCAATGGTGCAAATTCCCCAAACACTTCAGCATATCAAGAAACAATAAAAGTGTCGACCTTGTTAAATCACATACAACTTATTTTGTCGAAATTTCAAACACAACGAGCTCATGTTCAACTCAAAAGCCAACTAATTTGAACTCAGATCACCATTGTATCAATAAAGAAGAGTTCAACCATCAAACGAGAAATATTTGGGAACAATTTATTCCTCGGCAGCAACCACAGAGATTTCACCTTTGTCCAGCAAATCGTAAAACTCCCGAACTTTCCTCTGCTCGTTCCAGTGGTGCATTTTCCACACGCTACCAGCAGCAATTCCAAGCGCAATCCCGATCAATATCTCCTTCACCACACTTGGTCCTTTTAAAGTGGCATGAGCAACCCTTGAACCAGCCATTATTTTAGCTTCTGGAGAGAAAATAGCCGCAGCTCCTGCAGTTAAAGTACCGGTTTATACGTAATCATAAGGAAATTCTGGGTGCAATTTGATGGATTCTTATCAATAATAGTTGCTTTTATGATTACATAAGATTAAACCCAACAAAAGAATCTAACCCCATCACAGTTAAATGATTGCACACTCAGAATCATAAAAATAGCATACTAAAGATACATATTGGCAAGCATATTTTCTGAATAAGATTCTTAAAATGAGAACTTAAATATGCAAATGATATTCACTATTATGATAGTACAAATACAATAGTACATTCCTTGGCTCAGGTGATTGACACTTGGTTATATAAATGGACAGTTCAATAATTTTGAAAATTCAGGAATAAAAAAGTATACTAATTTAACAGATCTAAAGACTTTCCCAAACCTGATCCTCGAAAGAATCTTCTATACGATGTTCTAAACGTAAGCAAGTCTAAGATCGAGATGGAAGAAATAAGGAATCATACAACAAACACTGATAGGATAATGATAACCTCAGAATTCAACAAATACAATGGAATAGCAAAGGTGTAGAACTTCCTCTTTGTTTGGTGGGATAGAAGTCAATCACTTGAAACGAGGCTAGAAATGGTTGTAAAACAAAGGGGAATATACACTGCCTTTAGTTTTTTGTTTCATTAAAGAGTGGCATGTCACCAAACCCCAATTTGTTAGTATCATCAATTCTTATGGGTTCGTTCACTCTCGGTTTCCTCATGATACCATTCATTTTCTATTAAATAACTGCTCATCAAATAAATCAGATTAGAGCAAACCTTTCTTCAGTCTGATAGCAAGTAGTAACCACAACAAATAATTTTGAAATATCCATACAAACGTTTTTGGGGGAAGGGGAGCAGTCCCATAGGAGGTAAACCGCACTTTTCGAGGGCAAGCCCAAGTGCCACCTAAGTGAGGTTCTATCCCAAAACCGATTTGTGATAGAAGTAGCAGTTCATCATGCTTTAAAACTAGCTCATTTTACTTATTTAATCAATGTGGGACGATTGGCAAATGATATACCAACAAACGTGAACGGACAATAAGTGTCCAAATTTCCATCAAGCAAGGTGCATTCACATACTTCTGAAAATACAGAAAAACGGTCCATCATAGAAAAGTACTCCTAACAAACACCAAGTA